AGGAATCAAATTGACATATCATGTAAACTCCAAAAACTATTTGCATAATTTACTCTAAATAATATCTCTCTTATCATTAAGATCAATCCTAGCGATGATTGGTCCGTGTTTTATGATTTTATTAATTAGGACCTTTTCTCCATCCCGACCTTTTGCTTGTTGCTTAATTCAGGTCAATCTTGCTTTATATTAATATTTCTTCCTCCCCAGATGGTCATCCTGCCTACGTACAAAATAATGATTTTAGTATGGAAAATGAGTGAGATTAGAGCTCTTATTAATGATGTGGCAGAATGTGTTGTGTCTAATTTTTTTTTTCCCTCCCTTTTCCACCACATTAGTGGTGAATTAGAACCACTAAATTAGTAGTCTCATGACTGTTTTAGTATTGGTTTCATGAATGTTGACTTGAATTACTTAATAATTGAAGTGATTTTCATAATCAATACCTAGTGTCACATTGAATTGCACCACTTACCCATAAATTACTCTAAGGGTTTTTTTTTTTTATATATATTTTTTATGTTTTATTATGAAATTACAATAAATAAAAAAATAAAAAAAGGATAATTACACTGATACCCCTGAAATTTATGTTTATTACAGTTTCTCCTCACTTTTTAGAAATTACGTCTCCTCCCTGAGGTTTAAAGTTTCATTACAGATTATCCCTTTCAGCAATTTAATTTTTTTAAATACCAATTTTGCCCTCATTTGGTAAATTACATTGACACCCCTCACATTTTAAAAATTACAATCCCCTCCCCAAGGTTTAAAGTAGCATTACCAATTGCCCCCTTGGCTAGTATTAGTTGGAAAAAAAATTATTTGAAAAAAAAATTAATTGAAAAAATTTTTATTAGTAAAATTTTGAAGTTTTTATTTAAAAACCAATGTAAATTCATTTTTGAATTTATATTTTTCCCTCAAATTTACAAACTGAGACAACCATTTACAAACTAAAAAAATTATCAAACAAGTTTTTATGACAGTTTTTTAAATTTTTGTAAATATAAATTGAAAATTGAAAACGGAATGGTTACCAAACAGGCCTCAGATGGTAAAAATGTCGTAAAATTAACAAATTATCAAAAGATTCTTAGGTTATGTATGGTTTGATTTTTAGAATTTTTTTTAAAAAAATTAAAAATTAATTTGGTTAAGACATAAAAAATAAAAAATAATTATCATTTAAGGGTAAAAAATAATTATCATTTTAACTTTTGGGTAGGTTATATACATACGTATGGCCGTTTCAATTTAATTTGTAAAAAATTATTTCTTACCACTCGAAAGATAAAAATTATAAACAAATGATAATTATTTTTTATTTTTTTATTTCTTAACCAAATTAATTTTTAATTTTTAAAAATTATTTCTAAAAATCAAACCATACATAGCCTAAAAATCTTTTGATAAGTCATTTCTTACGTTGGTAACTTATTTAATTATTTGTTAATTTTATGACATTTTTACCATCTGAAGCCTGTTTGATAACCATTTTGTTTTCAGTTTTCAATTTTCAATTTATATTTTCAAAAATTTTAAAAATTGCCATAAAAACTTGTTTGATAATTTTTTTAGTTTATAAATGGTTGTCTCAGTTTATAAATTTGAGAAAAAAATGTAAATTCAAAAAATGAACTTACGTTAGTTTTTAAACAGAAATTTAAAAATTTTACTAACAAAAAAAAAATTCAAATAATTTTTTTCCCAAATAATTTTTTTCCCAACTAATACTAACCGAGGGGGTAATTGGTAATGCTACTTTAAACCTTAGGGAGGGGATTGTAATTTCTAAAATGTGAGGAGTGTTAATGTAATTTACCTAGTGAGGGCAAAATCGATATTAAAAAAATTAAATTGCTGAATGGGGAATCAATAATGAAACTTTAAACCTCAAGGGGTGTTAGTGTAATTTACCCATAAAAAAAGTTGAGATTTGACTCCGATAACAAATTAAATTATAATTTTTAAATTATTAACTTTTAAAATGATATTGACTTTAACTAGGGATGCAATTTGGGCGGGTTCAACTCGAGCAACTTGAACCCAGTTTGAATTTTTTTAGAGCTTAGACAAGATATTTTCAAATTCGATATTAGTTTAGGCAAAAATTCAGAAGCCCGAATTAAATTTAGACGGGCTTAGGCAAAAATGTCAAACAACCTGAGCAATCCGAAACCCAAATTATACATATATAGATATATAAAAATATTAAATATACATATAAATTATTAGCTATTACATGATATTAAAGTAATTTAAATTATTAAATCATATTGAATATATATTATTATATATACAAATAACATAAAATCTTATTTTTTTTATTTCACTCATAAATTGTAAGAACTACTATAGCGGCATCTCTCTTATATTATATAAATTATTTGTTTTTATGGTATTAATGATTTTTTATAAAATAAAATAAAAAATTATAAATAGAGTCAAATTTTAATAATTTAATAATGTAGCTGAGAAAAAAAAATTGAAATTCATTTTCAATTCAGGCAATTCGGGTTTAACTCGGGTCGAGCTTGGACAAACAACCTCGGGTTACAATTCGGCCCTAGGCGGGCCTAGATAGATCTTAGCACAACTTAGGCTGAATTTGAACAACTTTTCAACCCGCCCGAGTTGCACCCCTAACTTTAACCATTTATATAGTTTGTCTTATACATCATTAATTTTTGACCAATAAGTTTTATGATTTCTCCACTATTTTTTCTTTTAAATTTTCAAATAATATAAATAAATAACTTTTGAATAAACTACTAATAGGTCTTAATAGTTTAACTTAATTCCTATTAAGTACTAAAGCTAGTCATAATAAAATTGTTGCTAAAAATAATTTTTTGTGACTTTTTTTTGGATATTTCGCTAAAAATTGATAATTAACGACTTTTTTATTACGATTTTTATAAATTGTCGCTAAAATTTATAATTATTAACTTTTTTGTGACGAATTTGTTGAATTGTTGCTAAAAATTAAAAATTAGTGACATTTTTTTGTAATAATTTTTTTAAATTGTCATTAAAACTTATAATTAGTTACATTTTTTGTGATAAAATTTTGAAACTGTAATTGAAAATTAACAATTAGTGACTTTTTTTTAATAGTGTTTGATAAAAAAATACCATTAATTATCACAGGAGCTATTGGATAATAAGTCCATCTATTAAAACTTACATGTAAATATCTCATAACTTTTTTATTAAACAAATAATGTTATATAAATAAATAAATAAATAATTAATACAGAATAAAATATTAGATTTTAATTTTATCATTTAAAATGAAAATAATACTAATGTCAATACAAATATTATGCAAAATATTTATAAGAATATCATTTTTCCAGGGACACAATTAACATGGTGTCCGGAAGAAGGGATAACTACACCCGGGATTTAGCCCAAGTTTGGGAAGATTAAATAAGTGCATTTTTTGATTTTTTTTGTATTATGTGGAGAAAAAGTAGATAGGAGATGTTGATTAATGTGACCCAAAAAAGATAAAAAGATGAAATAAGTGCACTTTTATTGGTTCGCCAAACTTGGCCTTAGCCGTTTGGCCGTTTCCTCCACACTTTCCACTCCATCCAATCCAACCCAATCCAATATCTACACGCACTAATTATAATAATTAATAGGAAAATGTCTCGTAATTCAAATTTTGTGGCTTAAAAATGGCTTTGGTAATTTTAGCCACTTTTGAGCCACAAAATTTGAGTTACGTAGCATTTTCTTAATAGAAAACTTTGGCTGATGAGGATTGATGAATTCGATTTCAATTGATATGTCCACTGGGTTTTGAGCCAATTCGGGCATTGCTTTTGAAAAAATCTAGAAATCCCCTAGATGTTGATTTGTGATTATGTATCAATTTTAAGCAGAGTATAACAATCCCAATCAAACAATCAAGATAAAGAGACAAAACAACACAACGATAAAAAAAAGAGAGAGATAATAGGAAAATGTCTCGTAATTCAATTTTGTGGCTTAAAATGGCTTTGGTCATTTGAGCCACTTTTGAGCCACAAAATTTGAGTTAGTAGCATTATCGTAATTAATATATCTTATAATATTATAAGAAAATATTATATGCATTAATTAATATACTAATCAATTTATCAATTGATAATGTAATATAATTTAAGATATTTTTTATATTTATAATTTTATATAATGAGTGAGATCAATAATAATATCATAACTAAAATTGGTACATTAATTAATATATTAATTAGTACATGTAACACCATTAATTATAATTATAAAATTTTAAAATATGATGCAGGGTCTCTGTACTAATTATTAGCATTATTCAGTCACTATACTTTCCTTTGAGATATCAGTTGATTTTTTAATTTTTTTATTATTTTAATATAGAATTAAAAAATCTCATTAAAGATAAATGTTTTGACTTTTTTTAATTCTTATGAAAAAATAAAATAATTATAGTTTAAATATGATATTTATCTTATTAAATTAAAAAATATTTTTATTTTTT